CCGGAGGGAAAAGTGAACTCCACCCTCCCGCTTTCTTCCCGGGACGGACACCGCCCGCCGCCCTGCGCTGGCTGGCACGTCCGGGAGGCGGGTGTCGGGGTTTATGCCGTTATTTTAAACAAGGGCCCCTTTTCAGTTTCTGCAGTAAATCTCTCGAGTGCCCCACGCCGAGAGCTGCACGGGTCGGGGCAGCCAGTCGAGCCTATTGGACGCGTATTTGGGACGGTACACTTTGGTGACCCGAAACTTAGAGGAGGACCAGGCTACTTCGACTTGTACTTCGCCCCTTTAGCCTCACTCCACCCCCTCCGTAGTACTGTGATTGAACCCAGGACCTTCACACTGAGCCACATCCCTAGTTTTTCGTTTTTTAGTTTAAGGCACGACTCTCTTAAGTTATAAATTGCCCAGGCTAGGGTAGAATTTGCATTCTTCCTGCCTCAGCCTCCCGGAGTGCTGGAAATTTCAGGTTTTCGCCACCCGACAATTTCGAGGTTTCTTAAAAATGACCATTTTCTCTCTGTGTGTAGAAGCTTTTTGATATGCTAACTGTGAGGATCCCTGTGTGGTGGAAGCTTTTCTTTCCTTTGAACATGGTGTGGTTATTTAAAAAAAAAAAAAAACCAGCCAGAATTCGTCTTCGCTTAACACATTAGGTATGAATGTAGGAGAACTGGCTCCTTGTGACTCAAGGCTTTTCATTCTTGTCCGTGGTGGTTACAGGCCCTTGAGGAAGACAAGACTAGTTTTATGTCGTTTTTTTCCTCCCATAGAAACAAGAATCTCAGTGTAATCCAAGCAAAATTAAGCGTCTTAGCATTGCTTGTGTAGGTTAGTGTTAACAGGGAAGCTGGGAGAATTACTATCAGTTTCAGCAAACTCACAGTGCAACTGGTACTTTTCAGGTTGAGTAGAGTTGAAGGAAGTTTTGACATCACTGTTAATTTTTGGTTAATCGTCTCTAAACTTGTCATTAGTACAGATTTTGGTTTTATGCTTCTTTATGCATTTACAGATTTTCAGTTTATTTAGAAACATTTGTGAAACATTTGAAATTGCTTACTGGCAGGCACAGTACACTGTGAGGCTGAGGCAGGAAGTTTGCAAGTTTGAGCTCACTGGACAATTTAGGGAGTTGCTATCTCAAAATAAAAAGGCCCTGGTTTCAATCCTTAGTACCACAAAAAAGAAAAAAAAAAGTCTCTGTAACGAATACAAATACAAGATATAGACAGACAACTGATTTTTATAAAACATTCATTTGTGAGAT